ACCAATTGCCGAACTAATTAAGTTCACTTCTTTAAGCCCAAATGAAAGAAGATATTCTTCAACCATCATGATATGGTCTTTTAATTGGTGAATAAACCACAATAAACGTCATCTTTTTTGGTGTCGTTTGCTTTCGATGTCCACTGGTCGCTGATCAAGATGGGATTAGCTTAGTCATAACGATTCTACTGAAACTTTGCGCTTGAAGTGCAAAATATTGTTTATTAAAACCATAAACGGTTTATTTCAGTAAAAAGGTCAATATTCTGACAAGAAAATTCTTTCTTGCGGATACATAAACAAATATACTCACCTGCACAAGGGCAAATAACTGTTTTGTTCCTTAGATGTTGCATCCACTCATGTACGAAGTATCCATCGGGTATAGGAGCATTTTCTTTTGCGCTGATACAAGTTATAATGAAACGCCTACTTTTTTTCAGTGATATGGTACATAAGAGCGTTAGATACTTTTTTCAGTCTAGGTGTACCCTCACTTATCTCAATTGTCTCACCAGACTTCGAAAAAAAAAAGTATTTATTCTAAATGCATGTGCTTATTAAAGACCTATAAGAATCGAACTATGACTATAAAAACATGAAAGCAGGGCTCTAATTGGCAACTAATTTAGTCGCCATGGCGCCTAAAAGTTTTCCATAAGTCGCCAAATTGGCGACCATTTTATATTAGTTGGCGATGGTCGGATTCCGGAAATTTAATCATTTTTTTCTGAAAAAGTGAAAAGAAATTTAAAAGAAGAGGAAATTATTTTTAGCAATGAACATGTGTTTCCTTAGTCACGTCATGGGTTCCTATATTGATTACTATTAACTTTTAAAGTTGGCGCCTTAAAAAAATTGCCTGGCGACTAAAAATTTGCATTGGCGACTAAATTTTTTTGATAAGGCGCCAGCTGGCGCCTAAATTTTAGAGGGCACTTACTAGTTAGAGGCCTTGAAAGGCGTGACAGAACGAGTAAAAAGGCCTAATAATGCGAAGTGAAGAGGCAGAAAGACGTGAGAAAAGGCCTAACGATGTGAACAAAGCGTATTTGTGCCTTTTATCAGATGAAATAACACGGAAAGGTTAATAAGCCTTTCAAAAATGCATTATATCGCAAAATACTAAGCGCATAAGCTTAATAGGCGTTGTAACACGAATCAAAGGGCATTATAACACGGGAAGAGGATTATTATTCCTTTTCAAAAGGAGTAATATTGGAAAGTTATTATAAGACTTTCCAGAAAGGTGTTATTATGCCTTACCATATCGCGTTATTATGCTTTCTTTTCAAAATAGACGCAATAACGCCTTTTAATTTGCGTGGTGCGCCTTTTTGAAAGGTGCTATAATGCCTTCTTGAAAGGCGTAATAACACCTTTCATCTTTCGTTATAATGTCTTTTAAAGGGCGTAAATGTCGTTTTTTCCGCGTTATTACGCCTTTTTCGCAATATAAGGTTTTTCACTTTGTTTTTCACTTTGTGTTATTACGCCTTTTTTCGCGTTATAACGCCTTTTTTAACCCATTGTCCTTAGAGCTTTTTAAGGAATAACCATCTAGTTGTTTGGTTTTATGATGTGATGAAACTGTTTTCTCATGTGATTTTGCATACACACCGAAAAACCAAAACCAAAAAAAAAAAAAAAGAAAGAAAAAAGAAAGTAATTCCTTATATTTACATTTAACTTTTACCTCATCCTTCATTCAATTAAAAAAGGAGTATATTTTCGCTATTTCTATTTAAAAAGTCTGCAAGCCCAGCCAGACACAGCGAGACGAAGCTCCTTCGCGTGATTCTGTTTCTCTCTCTCTCTCTCTCTCTCTCTCTCTCTCTCTCTCTCTCTCTCTTAACCAATGCCCATTTCCCAACGATGAGCAAACGGCTTTTTAAAGATTAGATTTCAAACTATTTCATTATTTGTAGTTTTATCTCGGACAAAGATATTTGAAAATATAAAATGAGGCAGCAGTGCATTATTTTTCATAAACCATTTACGATCTACGGATTGTACCCCAAAAATTAAGAAGTGTCATCACCTTCACTTTTTTTCCTATATAAATTATTACAATTAACAAGCCCAAGGGCAACAACACTCACCCGAGTCCCCTTTGTCCTCTTTTTCTTCATCACACGATTTTTTAAAAAAATCCATCTTTTATTCACATGAAAAATTCTTACTCCAGATTTTTAAACAAATTTCTTAAATAGTCCCTAAACTTTGATCCCCTATTGTAGGCCCCACACTACCCTGGGTGCCGTGAAAAGTTTAGAAACTACACTACCTCTGAAAGCATTCACAAAAGTTTCACCTATTCTGGCCTAGTGGTTCTTGAGTACATTTTAAAAGATTTTTCTAATATATTTCAATGTAAAACCTTCTTCCCCTATTAATTGTGACCCCACCTCAGCCCCGGGGGACATGATTTGAACAATTTAGAATTTACACTTCCTCGGGAAGTTTTCACGTAAGTTTTAATGACCCCACACTATTTTTGTCTTTTTTGATCATCTCCCCTTGGAAGCTGACCTGGCCCTTCATTTGGAAAGAAATATACAATCCCTTTTCCTAAGGATGCTTTGTGCCAACTTCGGTTAAAATTGGCTTAGTAGTTCTTGAGATGAAGTCGAAAATGTAAAAAGTTTACAGATGGAGGGACGGATGGACAGACAGAGAGACGGATGCCGGACAATGGATGATCAGCTCACTTGAACTTTCAGCTCATGTGAGCTAAAAATGAAGTTGTATAGCAAAACAGTTATGGACTGGGTCTTCAGACAACTGTTTTGTTTGACCCACAAACGGATCTGTTGCTCTCAACCTGCAGCTTCGGGCAACAAATCCATTTTCAAAACAACTGCTATCCAATAACTGAATAATGTTTCTTCATAAAATAAGCAACCATTTTAAAAATATTTTAATTGTCAAAACTCACTATTCTAAGCAGTAACGTGTTTTTGAAAGAGGATGTTGACATCAATTTTGAACAGAAAGCAGCAGATAATTTAGAATTAAAATAACTGTAAAAACTAACAAATTTTTCTCATTTAATAATGAGTGATAATCATATTCATGAGAAATAATCAGTTATTAAAATAACAAGAGGCCCAAAGGCCTTAATGGTCACCTGAGTATAAATATAACACTGTAAAGGATCCATAGAAGTATAAAAGAAAACAAACTCAAAGATGAACTATGTTGCCCAAAAGCAAGAGGGATATATTGATTAGGGATCAAGAAAATAATTAGTATAGTACTCCTTCTTCAATGAAATCTATTTACTTGCCTGTTTCTGTCCCCATGAACCGCTGTAACTGTCATCTTTAAACCAAACAAAACGATAGTACTGGAGCACTTTTGATAAACTCATCTCATTCTCTTTCACATTGGCCTTTGTCTATGAAGAACATTTAATGTACAAAGATAAGGTATTTTTGTCTCGTTAATATTTATCTATAATCAACAATAATTACCTGACCATTAAGAACTTCGAAAGTACCTTTGTATTATATATCATAAAAATTCTTGTACAAATCTCCTATTAAATTGGCCTTTCAATTACATTATCTCCAGTGATTAATTATCATAGGTGAATAGCAAAGGGGAATAACTTTTCCAGTGGAATAGAAATTTATAGAGCCCTGTCCAGCACCAGAACACTTGACCAAGTGGTCGACTTGACTCCTGACCCTGGGGCCGCAAATTTCAAGATTTTATAAGATGCATCCTTGCCCATCATTCTAAGTACTTAGTTTATCTGCTTAATACCCAATGCATTTTTACTATATTATCAATAGAGACCATCCTAACATTAGAACTACTGACCCAAGGGTCATGAAATTCACACATTTGGAAGAGGCATCCTTGTTCGTCATGACCATGCACTATGTATGTTTGCTTAATACACAGTAACAGAGAAGATTTTCAAAGAAATAATGCATTTTCAATATTTTCAATAGAGCCCTGCTCTAAGACCAGGGGTATTAAAATTCACAATTTTGGAAGAGGCACCCTTGCTCATCATAATCACACCCAGTTTATCTGCTTAACATTCAGGAGTTTAGAAGATTTTCAAAGAACTCATGACCCAGGGGGCATGAAATTTACACTTTTGGAAGAGGCATCCTTGTTCATCATAACCATGCACTTAGTTTATCTGCTAAATATATTGGAGCAGAGAAGATATTCAAATAATTTATGCATTTTCACTATATAATCAATAAAGTCCCGTCTTAACACTAGAATCCCTGACCCAGGGGCCACAAAATTCACACTTCTGGAAGAGGCACCCTTGCTCATCATAACTATGCCTGTAGTATATTTGCTATATATACAGGGGAGAGTTTTTTTTCAAAGAATTTGTGCATTTTCACTATATAACGAATAGAGCCCCACCCTAACACTAGAACCCCTGAACCAAGGAGCCGTGAAATTCACAATTATTGAAGAGACGCCCTTGCTCATCTTACATATATATGCACTATATTTGTTTGCTAAATACCCAGAAGCAGAGAGGATTTTCAAAGAATTAATGTATTTTCACTATATAATCAATAAAGCCCCTCCCCCACCACCAGAACCATGATCCTGGGGCCACAAATTTCACAATTCTAAAAGAGGTACCCTTGCTCCTCATAACTATGCATCTAGTTTATCTGCTTAACATCCAGGAGTTTAGAGAATTTTCAAAGATATGCATTTTCACTATATAATTAAAAGAGTCCCATCCTAATACCAGAACCCCTGACCCAGAGGCCATGAAATTCAAAAATATTGAAGAGGCACCCTTGCTCATCATAACTATACATCTAGTTACTTGCTAAGTATACAGGGGGAGAGTAGACTTTTAAAGAATTTATGCATTTTCACTATATATAAGCTAAGAGCCCCATCAACTCAGAACTTGGGGTCATGAATTTTATAATTTTGCTAGAAAACAGAGAGCAATAGGTCATCTAAGTGACTCAGGTGACCTAATAAACAAGCAAAATATGTACTTGTATGTATTATTTATTTTACAGCCATGAGATGCACAAAACATGGAGATGCTTGAAACAATGTACATGATAATGAATTTGTAATGTACAGCAAAATCATTTAAGATATATTTTATCTACCAAGACAATAACATCCTAAAAATACAAATTTTCTTTACATCTTTTTTCCCAGAATATGACACTGTTCACTTAATCACATAACACTTTCATTTTAATGGAACCCCAAAAATATTTTGGAAACAATATCTCTAACCTTGACAAGAACAAAAATTTCAAGTTTCTTTCAGACTTTTTAGAACAGTTACTCCACCTCTGAAATTTTACATCCCCTCCCCTTTGACATACAGTTCTCTGAACCATCTTAATTTTCATCAGAACTGCTAGCAGATCCAAAGATTTCCTCCTCCTCCTTCTTTGCACGGTCACTCTCACTGCCCCGGTCACTCTCACTCCGGGCTGGTGAGGGACTTCTGCTTCCACTCCGGCTGCGACTGCGTGATGATCGACTGCTGCTCCTGCTGCCACTTCTGCTGCGTGACGGACTGCGGCTGCCACTGTGTGACCTTGACCTGCTGCGGCGGCTGCCACTGGATTTGACACTTCCTGCTTCACTCCCACTGTGAAATTCTTCATCTAAATATGATAAAAATGAATAAGAGGTTATCAATGTCAGTTTATAAAATGTAATTATTTACACTGTACATGTATTACTTAACATATTTGAAAACATTTTAATGTTTATATATGAGTGCAACTTATTGGCTATGATTATAATGATGTACAACATACTTTTAGACAGTTCATTGTAGTGAAACAGTTAAACATACTAAACACATCGATGTTGATTGGCCCTAATTGACTTATAACTTATGTACATATACATGTAACTAGTGAAGTAGCATTTTTGATTATGAATAGGTAATGCTTGACCATCACATCACTAATTCCTAATTCTTAGGCATTAAACCAAACAACTGGTGATTAACTAATTTGGTTAACTAACCTGATCCCACCAGCTGTTCCTCCTGTATCTCTTCCTCTTCCTCCTCTTCTTGTTGAGGCTCTAACATCGTCAGTCGAGCATTCTGTTGGTCAACATTATAAACGTTATTTGGGATTAAAAATAATTTAATTGCAAGTTTATACACATTGTAATTATATGTCCCCGTGTAAAACTGAAGGCTTTCTTAATGACCTTAAAATTTTACCATAAAATCAAGGAACAGTAGTACAGAAAGGCCACAGTATACTGATTTACCTGTGCTGCAATTTCTCTTTCATTCAGTTCTCTATGTTTAACAATTAAACGTGATTTTGCCATTTGGGCACCTCCCACCTTTCTTCTCTTACTCAAGCGGACCCTGAATTCAAAGGAAGAAAGACTCATTAAAACCAGCAAACCAGCTTTATCTCATTTCTAGTATGCTTACTTAAGGGAAATCTACATGTAAATTCAAGAAACAAAAATAGGATACAAATCTCATCTAAACAAACATCCTAAACTGCCATTTTTTTCCTTCAAATTATTGCTCTCTGAATACTGAAAATCTTGTTTGATGCATGATTTAAACATCACAATCTAAGGTGATTAAACATTCCCCATGATAATGACAATGTAATTCAAATTATCAAGACTTCTCTTACAATGCACTGTTTTTATAAGGGGATTTTAAATTATAACTTGTAATTATGTTTTTGTAGTTTTTTAATGAAAATTTGGTCTAAAAATTTTCACATGTATGAGTTATACTTTACCTAGTTTCCAGCTCATTGTAATACATTCCATCTTCCCTGAAGACAAAGAAATATGTTTCCTCATATCCTCTGGAAAGTTTGTTTTTCACATTCCAATTGTATTCTCTGGCTAATGTGTAGTCATACCTAAAGAATAATGGTTAGAAAATCTAAGACGCACTTCCATCCTTAGAACAAGCCTTCAAGAATTCCTTTTTTCTAAGAGATAACAAAATTAACCTTTCCTCCAAGAACAAATTATCAACCAGAGCAACACAACTATGACTAAAATTAAAGACTAAGTTAGTAGTCATACTCTTCCTCAGCGTTGTAGTCAATGCCCTCCTCTGCATCTCTCTTCCTCTTGTTCAGAGTTTCCTCTGTTGGCAAAAAGTAGGCTACAAACTGCTCATTGTTTTCATCTACTGCACCTCTGAAAGAGAAAAAGAGAAGTGTATATATGATATGTAATGGTAAATGAATCTCAATGGTAAAGTTTAAAAAAACAAAAAAACAATTTTAAGTTTAGTTGGCTAGCACAAATGTAGTCATGTTTTCAATGGTCTGTTTATCTGGTCAAGCTAAAAGACAACTGAATAATTGAGACAAATGTTTAAATACAAAATTGAGAAAAGGTGTGCAAAATAAGAGGCCCACAGGCCACAAAGCTCACCTGAGTCACTTTTGGCACTGCTGTTCTTCATCAGCAGAATTTTAAAAAAAATCCCTCTATAATTTCCTAGAAATTTTGACTCATATTGTGGTCCATAATCTAGCCCTAAGGAGGCTGTGGCTTAATCAAAGTTGAATCCAAATATCAGTTGGAAGCTTCAATATCAATATGATCAACATGGCCCTGCTGTTCTGAGGAAGGTTTTTCTTCCCTGTATACATGCATTTTGTAAAATAATGATCTCTGATTTTGGCAAAACCTAACCCAAAAGCTCATAAGTTAAAAAAAAAAATTCCATACAACTTTAGTATGTTTTGCAAATTAATTTGATTTAGTGTGGTTTTGTCACTCTAAAAGATCTCCTCCTATACACTCCCTTGTGAAACTCTGATCCCCTGTTACTCCAGAGGGTCCTTGAACAGACTTAAATCTAAACTACCTAAGGATGCCTGCACATCAATGTGACTAATAATGGCCCTGCTGTTCTTGAGAAGAAGATTAAAAAAAAATCCTATATATTCCTATGTAAAACTTTGATCCTCCATAGTGGCCCCACCCTACCCCCTGGGGTCATGATTTGAACAAATTTGAATCTAAACAACCTGAGAATGCTTCCATATAAATATGACTAATCACTGCTTTGCTGTCCTTGAGAAGAGGATTTTTAAAGAGCCCCCCCCCCCCCATATTTCCTATATAAAACTTTTATCACTTTTTGTTGCCCAACCTACCCCTGCAGTCATGATTTGAATCTACACTATGTATGAAGCTTTTATATGTTTTATCTTTTCTGGTTTAGTGGTTCTTGAAAAGAAGATTTTTAAAGATGCCAATAAATTTTCACTTTTTCTTAATTAATCCCCTTGGAAGAGGATGTGGCCCTTTATTTGAACAAACTTGAATCCCCTTCACCCAAGGATGCTTTACGGCATGTTTGGGTGAAATTGGCCCAGTGTTCTTCAGAAGAAGTTGAAAATGTAAAAAATGTAAAAAGTGTTCAGAGGGTTGCACAGCTAGACAGACAGATAGACATCAGACAAAATGTGATCATAAAAGCTCATTGAGCTTTCCTCAGCTGAGCTAAAAACAGTAGTAAACATTCAAAGTATTTAAAAAAAATTACTACCTTCACCAAGCATACAATTTAGCAGTAATCCAGTAATCACACAAACCTTATCATGGCCTGTGACATTTCTTCCATCTGAGCAGGTTGAGGTCGACCTTTAGGTGCTGGGTCTGAATCAAAAATGACCTGGGCAAATGGGTGTTTCCATAGCTACAATGTAAATTAGTCAATGTTTCATTTTTTTTCAGCATGTGATTCTTCAGTGATACTTAAGCATTTGTAAACTTCTTGAACATGGAAAGTATTCTTAAAGGTATATGAAGAATATTTACAAGAGGCCCATGAGCCGCAATGCTCATCTAAGTCACAATGGCCCTGCTTTTCTTCATCTGCAGATTTTTCCCCTATATATTCCTATGTCAAACTTTGATCACAATTGTGCCTCCACCCTCTCCCCGGGGGTATTGATTTGGATAAACCTGAATCTAAACTACCTGCGGATGCTTCCACATATCGGTTCATATACATGACTAATCATTGTGGCCCCACCCTACCCTCAGGGGTCATGATTTGAATAAACATGAATCTATACTACCTGAGGATGCTTCCATATAAATATGACTTCTAATCATGCCTTTGCTGTTCTTGAAAAGAAGATTCTTAAAGATTTTTCCTATATATTCCTATGTAAAACTTTGATTGTCCCTTTTGGTATCACCCTACCCCCAGGAGTTATGATTTGAACAAACTTGAATCTACAACATGCAATGAAGCTTTTATATAAGTTTCATCATTTCTAGCCCAGTGGTTCTTGAGATTTTTGAAATATACCTTTCAATTTTCACTAACTAGATGAAATCCTGCTTAAGCACAGGAAAAAGAATTTTTTCCACTGGTAATGGAACAATTCCAATATAGCTAAATAGTTTCTACTGACAATTAATGACAGAAAGCTAGAAGAAATCCCCCAAACAATTCTTTGTTCAACATCCTGCAGTTACTGTGGGAGCAGCAGAAGATTTACTTCACCCCCTTGATTATTTAAGGGGGTGGGGGTGGGGGGTGTAAAGTTTCATTTAGCATCTTATTACTTATCATTTCACATCTTGTGAACCAAATATCTAAATATATATTTACAGCAAATATTTTATTCAGACAATTTCTTATTTTTTATAAATGGCTTTAGTAAAATGTGAACTCTTAGAATGGAGGTATGTGCACCATATACTATAACATACTACTTTTATGAATTAACTTACGTCAAAGTCTGGGAACACAGGCAATACTTCAACAGGGGTTACACCAGGCTTACTGTAGTGTTTAGTTATCTGTCAAAAAACAAAAAAAAAACTTAGTTCTTTTTTCAAGTGAAAATCTGCATATGCATGTATCCCCACGCATGAGCTCATTTTAAATACATTTTACTGATATTTACATGTATGTCAAAATTGATATCTTTTTATTAATGTCTTAATTAATGAAAACAGTGTCCTCACCTCTTCTTTAGCCTGTTCAAATGTTTTGTCAATGGCCTGTATCTGACTTGCTCTATCTTTATAAATGTCTTCATCTTTCATAATCTGTTTTATCTTAAATCCAACTCTACAAAACAGATTTCATTTTTCAATAACTACTATAAACAATGTTTTCCATTTATGTTAAGGGTCCTTCACACCCCATGACTTGTGACGTACATAAAATAAATAAAATAAAATAAAAAAATACATTTACTTCCGGTTTTATATAGTTTGTGCACTGATGATTTCCCTGGCACCCCCTGTAAGAGAGTCTTCTAAACGCTTCAGAGATGATGGTTTTGTCAAAGGAAAAGTATGCAGTAAACTGAGAGGGACACCCTAATCATAAACAATAAACACATGCCTGAGTGACATGGCATGATCACGGCATGACCGAAAGAAAAAGGTGTCGATTTTTTCAATAAAAGAACAGCAGACCTTTGAGTTTTTGTAGCATAATAATTAGTTATAACAGGCATATCTACAGAAAACGTTTTAGTTTATTTATCATGTTTATACTTTCAGACTACTCAATCCATTGCGATATCATCAACAAAGTCTGTTGCGAAAAGTTAATATCTTTGCACACTGAATTGTGCATTTCAATAACACCTATCTCATTGTGTGTTTATAGATATTGATAAATAGTGTGCATTTCTAGTTTTGCTCATTTATATCTGTCCTGTTCAGTTGCCAATAACAAGTAACTTGAGTATGATGATGTATGCAGAGACTTATCAAAGTTTTTTTTGAGTCCTGGGTAAAATGAAAGATCACTCTTAAAAGGAATTTTGATATCAAAGATTTTGAAAATATTTTTTCTAAATCAATAAGTTTGATTTTAATTCAATTTTTTGTTGTAATTTAATTCATTAATGTTTCTTATATACTATCGGGAGTCTTCCCTAATTTTTTCTCCATGAATCTTACAGAAAATAAGTTATATTTATTTTTTTATAACTTTTATTAATTTCATTAAAAAATATGTTGACTGATAAAATCAAATTTTTGTGGTTCTTTTCTGACCTTAATAATATAAGCCAGGAAAAAACAAAATTTGTTGTGCTACTTACTAAAACACGGTGGGGAAAAAAATCTTAAAACTTATGAAATTAATTTTTTTTTTAAATTATATAAATTATATTTCAATTCTTGGTCAGTTTTTAAAGGTTGATATGCGTGTTAATAGTAATGCTCAGTAATATGAGAACATAAGCTGGGGGTGTGTGGAGGACCCTTAAAAGCTGTAATACTCCAAAGTGGATTTCTTTTGCAACTATGGATGTATTTCCAAAATACTATCCGGGTACATCTATTTTTTCACACATGCAGTTACTTAATAACACAAAAAAATGTTACTGTATGCAGGGAAATTTTTACCCTAATTTTATTTTATCAAAAATGGGGCAAATTCAAGGGAGACAACATTAGCTCTCTTTTAACAAAACGTTGTATCAATAAAGTGGTTTGCATGTGTGATAGGATGAAAATAACTTGGTGTGAAAATAACCCTGTATCCAGGTAACTTAGAGCAATAGAAATTTTACATTGGTACACTTCAAGAGCATGTATTCAAAGCAACTGATAAGTACATCACTTACTTTCTTTCTGAGTTATCTGATTTTTGTGTGAATCTGTTGTATTCTGTGGAGATATATTCAGTTTTTCGTAACCAGGATACATTTGTATTGTGATGTCGAGACCTGCAAAAAGACAATAATATGCTAAACAAACTCGGTTTTATCCCTTTTATCAAAAAGTTACCTTTATTGATATGCTGATTATATGTATACTGATGCTAGTCAAAGACAATCTTAAATCACTCAAACCTCTTGGAATCTGTTGGTGTGTTAAGGTCTTCTTCCAATAGTCTTTCATCTTCTGGGTCCAAGTACACTGAAATTCCAATTAAATTCATATATCACAGTTGTAACATTTTTTCTTTCCAATTTTATCAACTATATTCATTTCAAGAATCATGTACAACATCTTTTTTTCTCGTTTAAAGTACATCTACAAGACTGCAAATGCAAATGTTACAAGTTACTAGATAAACAAGATGTGTTTGTGAAATACTGATGCTCCTGTATGGCAGCTTATGGCGAAGGTTAAAGTTTCTCAAATGCAAGTCAAAATCCAGGTCAAGAGATCAAAAAGTTAGTACCCAAAGAAAGGTCTTGTCTCGAGGTTTAAACCTGTGAAATTTGAAAGCCCTAGCTCTAACTGTTCAAAAGTTATGACAAAGGTTAAAGTTTTTTAAAAGTAAGTAAAAGGTCAAGCTCAAGGTCAAATGGGGCCCCAAGGGAAGGTCTTGTCAAAAGTGATACACATGTTCATGAAATGTGAAAGCCCTAGAACCAAACATTCACATGTTATGGCCAAGGTTAAAGTTTTTTTAAAGTAAATCAAACTCCAAGGTCAAGGCCAATTTTAAAATTGTTGGTATCCAAAGGAAGGTCTTGTCACAAGGAATGCACATGGGAAGTATGAAAGGCGTAGCAACAAATGTTAAAAAGGTATGGCAAAAATTAAAGATTTTCAAAAGAAGGTCAAACTCCAAGGTAAAGGTCAAAGGGTCAAAGTGGTTGGTATCCAAAGGAAGGTCTTGTCACAAGGATTACATATGTGAAGTATGAAAGCCCTAGCACCAACCATTCAAAAGTTATGGCCAAGAATAAAGTTTTTCGAAAGTAGGTCAACCTCCAAGGTCAAAGGGTCAAAGTTGTTGGTATCCAAAGGAAGGTCTTGTCACAAGGAATACACAAGTGATGTTTGAAAGCCCAAGCACCAACTGTTCAAAAGTTATAGCCAAGGTAAAAGTTTCATAAAAATTTGCAAAAGTGAGTCAAACTCCAAGATCAAGGTCAAAAGGTCAAATATAATGTTAGTACATGTATCAAGAAAGGTCTTGTCGCAAGAAATACACATGTGAAGTTTAAAAGCCCAAGCACCAACTGTTCAAAAGTTATGGCTAAGGTTAAAGTTTTTCAAAATTAAAGTAGGTCAAACTCCAAGGTCAAGGTCAAAAGGTCAAAGTTGTTGGTATTCAAATGAAGGGCTTGTCACAAGGAACACATGTGAAGTTTAAAAGCCCTAACACCAACTGTTCAAAAGTTATGGCCAAGATTAAAGTTTTTCAAAAAGTAGGTCAAACTCCAAGGTCAAAGGGTCAAAGTTGTTGGTATCCAAAGAAAGATCTTGTCACAAGGAATACACATGTGAAGTTTGAAAGCCCAAGCACCAACTGTTCAAAAGTCATGGCCAAGGTTAAAGTCTCATAAAATTTTGCAAAAGTTGGTCATACTCCAAGGTCAAAGTCAAATATGATGGTACCCAAAGAAAGATCTTGTCACAAGGATTACACATGTGAAATATGAAAGCCATAGCTCCAACCAATCGAAGTTATGGGCAAGGTTAAAGTTTTTGCGGACAAACAGACAGACAGACAGACAGATGGACAAAGCAAAAACTTATGCCCCTGAATCTTCAATTACGGGAGCATAAAAATTATACACCTACATGTCCATATTTTAAGAGCAGAATTTCATCAATCTTTAAAACCAATTAAGAGAAAAATCTATAATCAATTCAGGATGACTGTTTTACTTTTAGATCCATTCTTTTTTCCCCATACATAATCCATTAAATAAAGACAAGTGAAAAATTTATCTTTAGATTTTTTTTAATGAAAAATGGTTTCTGCATTGACATTGATTCTGTGGAAGAAGACAGCTTAGACTGAGTAAAATTGAAATTATGGTTCTTGGGTTTATTTTCTTAAAAACAGATGGAGGCAGGAAGCTTTTCCCCTCTTTAAGATTATATAAATTATATGCCAGAGGCATTTTTTTATTTATTTTTTATTCTGAAATTTTTTTATAAAATAAACAATGAAAATTCTTTCACAACTATTCTGAAGTCATTCTATAGGTATATTTAACATCTCACAAAATATATGGATATTTTTCATTTTTTGTGGACATAGCCTTCATGTCTATGTCTACACTTATACAAAATGACTACCAGAAGTGTAAAACTACAAGTAAATGAGGGTAGATTTTTTTCCCCGAATTGGTCTCTGCATTACCAAATTCCTAATTTATTGAAAATACAACAAAAAATTGCAATGAGGCTACTTGAAAACAAATGTGCAGGATCAAGAACCATAATTTCAATTTTATTCAGCCTTATATTGAGAATATTAGAAACATATAGGCACCGTGCAATTATGGATCTTTCCCAAAAGGTTTTCCCACACAGTAAAAGTACTTCTGTTTTTTGTTTTTACTTCATGATCTTAAGAGGCAATGAAAAACTGTTAACAAACAATACACAGACCTCCTGGTTCTATCCTGTATGTATCCGGATTAATCAAATCAATCGTGACACCAAGGTCGTGCTCTGTTAACAAGTCATATTTATAGCTTCGCTCCAAAGATGTTGGTTTGTATTCTACAAATCTAAGGGTAAAGGAAAACAAGTATTTCATTTTTTGTTATAATCATACATTGTATATGACTATATATATGGCATAACAGGAATTTTAAGCAACCATCTAACTTCAGTACACATATTATTATTTATGGTGTTGACACCCCTTCAAATAAAGGTTGCTAGTAGGTAAATCAATCACAAATGTTGACCTAAAAATAGAATTATTTCCCAAAATTAATTTTGTTTATAATAAATGCCCTCTTTCTGGATTAAAGTGTCGGTAGTAAAATTTATCATTATTATACAGTACACATAAATTCACAGTAAAACACTGCAAATGAAATTATATAATATTACAATTTTCGTTAGGAAAAGTTAGAGACAAAAAAAGATACTCAGAAAAAAATCATCTACATGATCTGAATAGATTAAAAAAATGTTTAAAATAAAATTTAATTTGAATGCATGCCGATTTCCTTGAGTTGTTACAATATTCGGGTGTGTGGTACAAATTATGGTTATAATTGATATCTAGGAATGAACAGAACTTTTGTGTTCGACTTGCACATAACAGTTGTACATTACCTGTTTGTTTCGAATGGGTATGTTATGAATTTAGGGTCAAATGGTATGTCTGGTAGTGTGTTGTTATATTTTACTCTGCATACCAACTCCGACCTGAAAGAAAGAGTATTCTTTTCAAAAGAAAAAACTGAGTAACATGCAAATCAGTTATAAATCTGGGACTACGAAGATTGGTAGTATCATGTATGTTTCTGTTCTACTCATTTTTAGAGCACACATATGATAACAGGTCTAGGAAAATCAGTATATTTAGCTATATAGCTAAATCTACCTATATAGCTTTATTTACCTATATAATATAGCTTTATTTAGCTATTTCAGAGTAAATTTCTGTTTTATGAAAAGCAGACAAAAAGTCGCATAATGAGGCAGTATTAGTTTTCAACTTTGAAATGGACTGAAAACAATTCACCAAAAACCCACTTTTAAAAATGTTTCTCCTTTTGTGCAATTGCAATCAAAGATCTAAAAGTTTTGGGGCTATGTATAACAGTTAATCTGTGAATAAGCAGCTACTTTAACAAAGAAAAGCAGTTTTGGTCAACAAGATAATTGATTGGTAAAAATTCAGCACAATGCAAGGCAATCACACTTAGTCATGTCTCATCGCACTTCCAGTAATGGACAGCTATCCAAACAATAGAGATGCATTTTTGGTTAAAAAGTGTTTAAAAGAGGAAATGTTTTTACTATCTATGCCCTAGGTTGTTTTTATCAAACCTTTTTAAATAAATATCAGCCATAATTTATATGCGACTTTTTGTTTGCTTTTCATAAAACAGAAACTTATTCTAAAATAGCTAAATAAAGCTATATTATATAAGTAAATAAAGCTATATAGGTAAATTAAGCTATATAGCTAAATATAGTGATTTTCCTGGACCTGGATAATATTGATAAAAATGAGAGAGAAAAGAAAATAGAAAGATTTATTGTGAAGACGAAATTTTCAGATTTTATGCTAAGTCTCTAACATTACCTTCTCTCTTGTCCAGGCCTTTTTCTATCTCTGTCCTCTCTTGGACCTGTTTGTACCGTTGGAGGCATTTTTGCGAGCTGTTTTTACCAACTTCACATTTCATTAATGGTCAGGCCAATCAACCAATCACCCAAATTACCCTGAATATTAATGGAACGGTTCATCCTGTAATAATATAGTTTGTTACACTTCATAATGTATTTATTTATCTAAAAAAGTACAAAATATAGATTCTTTTCTCCTATTATGAACAAAATCTTGTTTAGAGTTATCATTTTAATTTTTTAAATATATTTTTATTTTTGGTTGGGTTTGGTATCCAATTCAAGATGGCGTCCTCAGTCGAGCACCTGCGACAAACTGGAGGAAATCAGGCAAATGTTCAACATCCGCAGAATGCAGCAGCACAACAACCTGCCAATCAGGCAGAATGTGACCCTATCTACAGATTCAAGTTACTCTTACCCAGATTGAAAGAATCTTTGGTAGTAAGTAAAGAAGGAACTGAAGTATATTTTTATTAATATTTATATTAACTTCCAGTGCCTGTGTTAATTAACAAATAAAAACATGTGGAACGACTTTACTTTACTGGTCCCCAGAAAAATGCGCTTAAATACAGTGACGCCATAGGCGACTTCAACATATATGAGATCGCGTGAGTGATCAAAAAAAAATAAAAAGTAATATGTTGACGGCGCAACCATTATGGCGAGCGCAGATACCTTTTAGTTTTAATTTAGATCGGGCTCGTCAAACAGCACATGACATTTGCTACGTCTAGACTCTGACGTCATATGACGTCTTATGTATGTTGCATTACCAACTGAACAGTGCTAATTTTAATCAAGTCACAAGAACGTTTGATCTACTATTTATCTGCTTTATATCCATTATATCAAGGTGATTTTAAATTTTTGCCGAAATTTTGTTGCTACCGCGAGCGTTGTTTGCGGCGAGATGCAATTGGCTAAGCATTATGGGACCACAGGTAACTGCGGAAAAAAATTCATTTAGATCAATGTGTAAAGTCCGAATTTTCTCTTCACCCAGGCGTTGCTTTAAGAGCTTGCAGTGACGAGCGGCGCTTAGCGCCGCTCGCTGCACTTGCTATGAGGTTTTAAGCCTTTTTGAGCCCAAAATCGAATTCTATGGCTAAAAGTTTAGTCAGTGAAAAGGAGACAGAAAATAAATGTCAACGTAGCGGGTGCGGCACATACTTAGTGCCGTTTCTTTCGTACTTAGGCATTTTTTCATGTAAACAAACCAACGAGATGTTGTTGAAGCTGAATTAAAATCTTGCAAAAAATACAGAAGCAACTGAATTTCTTAATTTATCAAAATGAACAAGGCACTATCCCTAATCCCTGGTATGGTATGCGAGGACTAACCCAAATCTCCCTAGTGGATGCCCTAATCTCTCGGATGGATGCTAGACTAACCCTAATCAGACAAAAACTTGTGCAAGGACTAACCCTAATCTTTCAGGTCGGAGCAAGACTAACCCTAACCAGTCGAAAAATTTGCAAGACTAACCCTTATCGGTTGAGTGACGTAAATATTACATCATAGTGAAATGAGCACATGGATCTGGGGACTGGTAAGGCCAAAAAAAATAATAGTCTTGTTTCCTGCTACCCGACCTACCCTATTTTTTTGCACCCGACCCTAAAGTTTTTTTTTAAGTTTTGGAAGAAAAAAAATCGAGAATTTCCGGAATTTCATCGTTCTGTCACCGTAATTGGTTTCCATGTTAGCACAAAACAAGCATTTCATGAAATTCTTGTTTTAAATATGGACTTTCATAAAATACCACTTGAGTTGTGCATAAAAAGACATGAAATTCAATTTTAAAAGACAATATTGACCTGTGACATGTTTAATTTTATCTTGTATTAGTTCATATCCAAAAAATGCTGTCAGAAAAAAATAAAATAAAAATATAAAATAAAATAATTTTCCTACCTACGTACCCTATTTTTTTCAGGCTGGTAGCAGGAAACAAGACTGTTATTTTTTTTTGGCCTAAAGTAAAGTCTACGCAAACAATGTATACTGCTGCAGAAGAAATTTTCCCTTGTCTCTCATTTTGTAGGTTGAAGTCAGTTGAGTGACCAAACACTAGACAAATGTTTTGCCAATTGAATAGGGCTGGGACGATACATTTTTATACGCCCGTCTTTAGACGGGACGTATTATGTTATGGCATTCATGTCCGTCCTTCTGACCGTCTGTCTGTCTGTTAGCTTTTCTCGTGTCCAGCTCATAACTTTAATACTATTAGGCCTAGGATTATCCAACTTTTTCAGCTGATACTTCTTGGGTAGAAGGTGTGTCGCGCACTAAAAGTAGGTCGTTCTGACCTTTAATTAAGATGCTATGGCCAAATATGGAAAAATCCTGTCTGACTCATAACTAGAAAACTATTAGACTTAGAATCATCAAACTTGGCCAGTTTATGCATCTTAGATAGAAGGTGTGTCGCGACCTATTTCAAGGTCACCGTGACCTTTAATTTAAGTGAAATTTAAAAAAAAAATGTCTTTTTACTATTAAATTACACAATCCCAAAAAATGTAAAAGTGTTGCAGTATCCTTATTAAAAAAATGTTAAAATCAAGAAAATACTTATTTTTTTCATTAAATACTTTACAGCAATCTATAACAAATATAATGTTACAAGAGAAATTCCACCTCTCCTAGGGGTGTAATTATCAAGCACTGGTCAAGGAGAATTTTGATAACAGAAAATTGCATGTCAAATTAGAGAGAAATTAATGAGTTTAGTGTGAGGAGCTAACTGGTAGAGCATCTCTGATCAAGCAGGTGTTATCTATATCTCATGGGAATTGAGAGGAATCAGCCATGTTGGATTAAATAGTTTTTGTGGGCTAGCCTAACTTTTAAAATGAATTTGGTGAAAAGTAATTAAAACTAATTTGATATTGTATAATAAACCAATTTGATATTGTATAATTAACTAATAAATAAAACTAATTATACTCGGGGGGGGGGGGGGGGGGATATTGGAATTAGCATGCCCGTTGTCCATATGAATTGCAGCTTAAAACCAGTCTGACATTGAATCTAAAAAAAAAAACATCAAGTATTTCAAAAAAAAAAGTTTTAATTATGGTAGATAGTCCCTACAAATCTAAGAGTTAAGCAGAAACCTTATTAAAAATGTTGCATCAAGATTACAATTTTTTTTTCTTTTTATAAATCTTTGTAACAAATTGAAAAAAAATTCTTTGTTTTCAAATTTAATTTCAGAATGACATAAATATGCATTTTAATTGCACTACAAAGCAGATAGTGCAGATCCATTAATCCCTTGGGAGTAATGAGTGAACATGCATCCAGTTAAAGATTAATTAATGAGTTCAGTGTAGGAAGGCTAGCTCAATCATTTCTTTTAGAGGATCTAATCAAGCAGTTCTTATCTGTATCCTTTGGGAATTAAACAGAAGAACTGCTGGTCAGTTTATAGCATATGTCATTTGATGGCCAGTCTTTTATTTTAAAATTAATTTGGTATAGATTAAGTTGTTAAGACTAAATTCATATTGTTTAATATTATTTTCTTATTAAATTTTTTGAAAATATCAACTAACAAATTTCAGAGCATCATGTCTCACAAATATGAAAGATGTGTGTATCACTGTGTGTGTGTGTGTGTGTGGGGGGGGGGGGGGGGGGGGGATGCAGATGGGCATTTGTCAAGCTCTAACACAACCAGTTGAGGATCTATAATGTAATATTTGTTATAATTCATGCCTACATCACAGGAAATGTATAAACAAATATTATAAGGAATGGAAAAATCTTGGAAATCCGTGTATCAAGGTTGACTTGATTTTCTTGCACTCTAAACTGTTTGTGATAATTGAACAATATTTGACGGGCGTATCATGCTGTGGCGGGGCACTTTTTTTTTTCTATATCGATTCGTATCACAATAATTGAGTCATGATACGATATGTATCACGATATGTTGAATTGCTTATAAAATCTTTTTTTTTGTATTGAAATGAACAAAACATTTCTTCACAAATAAGAATGATTTATTCAAAGAAGTTGTATATCTTGTAAAACAAAATTAATATTTTGCACAAGTGGTGTTAATTATTATGTATTTCATATTTATATTTAGAATATTTTATTGTATATATTAATAAACCTAGAATGTTAAGTAAACAAAGAAAAATATAAATCAGAATTATTTTGCGATATTTCGAAATTTCTTCATACATATCGATATGCGTATCGTCCTCACACAAAATCGATATTATTGATATCTCGATATATCATCCCAGCCCTACAATTGAACTGATTAAAATGTTTTTGAAATCTGCTGCATCAACCAAATCATTAAAAGTTGACAGTCTTTTCCCTGATAACATTGTAAAAGGAAAGAAGAAAATGTAAAGCTGGAAAGGGAATCAAACCCCGGTCCCAAGTGAGCTTATCTGATCAAAGTTTGTCCAGTGTCTGTCTGTTGTGCATCTATAAACTTATCACATTTTCCACTTCTTCTTCAGAACCACTGGGCCAATTTCAACCACACTTGCAACTGAACAAAAGATTCTTGGGTAGAGTTTGTTCAAATGTAGGGTCACACCCTCTTTCAAGGGGAGATAATTAAGAATAAGTGAAAATTTAGTGGCCTCTTTCAAAAATCTTCTTCTCAATAACCAAGATGAAACTTGTGCGAAAGCTTCATTGCATAGTGTAGATTCAAATTTATTAAAATCTTGACCCTGGGGGGCTAGGGCAGGGCAACAATAGGCAATAAAGGTTTTACATAGAAATATATAGGGAAAAATCTTTAAAAATTTTCTTTTCAAGAACAGCAAAGCCATGTTAATCATATTTATATGTAGAAGCATCCGAAGGTAATGGAGATTCAAGTTTGTTGTTCAAATCATGACCCCAGGGGCTCGAGTGGGGCCACATAAGGCAATCAAAGTATTACATAGGAATACAGGTGACTCTCGATGGCTCGAACACCGATCTCTCGAAGTTCTCGATCTCTCGAAGTGAACCTCCGGTCCCGTTTTTTTCCCTCTATATAACTAAGCAAATTTACTTCCGATCTCTCGAATTTCCAATCTCTCGAAGTTCTCTATCTCTCGAACCAAGACCTGGGTCCCGTTACACACATTTCATTGTTTTTTACTCTCTATCTCTCAAAGTTTTGATTGCGCGTGTGTACACGCCAATCAAGCATAAAATTAATGCAGCTTGGACTTACCTGGATAACAGTGAACGCCTCGGGCTGGCATGGAGGTGCTAATTGGGTGTTTACATAGATGACACTATACCTGTGAGCATCCGAGTGTTGATAAAAATAATTAACTGGTTATAATTGGTAAATTATAAACGAATTGCTTCACAACTTATTTTTGACTTGACAGCGTGACGAAAATTTTTAGAAAATAATTTAAGAGGCGTGTCAATAATTTTCCATAGATTATGAAGTTTTATTAGAGTGTACATAATCCCAGTATGACAAACATTGCACAAGAAATCCTATCCCAAGAATTAAATACCGATTTAATACGAGAAATCTGGTAATGTACCCGATCAAGCCCAGGGGGTAGCCACACCGACGATTGCTATTCAGGTTTTATGTAATCATGAAATGAAAACAAATAAATATTGAAACTTAAAGAGATCGTTTTATTTATTCAAAATACGATCATTGTTGTTGAAATCAAGAGAATTACCTGTAAAATATGAATGAAAACGTTCAATGATATAATCAACATATACTTTCGGTATATATAATAGTAGAACAATGATGATCGGAACTGAAAATTCCGGATTTTATTCACTTTCTATCTCTCGAACCCCTCGATATCTCGAACTTTTCTTGCGGTCCCTTGAACTTCGAGAGATCGAGAGTCACCTGTATATAGTAAAAAATCCTCAAAATCTTTTCAAGAATAGCAAAGCCAAGATTATTCATATCTAGAAGGCGACATCCTTAGGTACACGTAGTGTAGATTCAAGTTTGTTCAAACCATGACCCCCTGAGGGAAAGGGTGGGGCCACAATGGGCAATCAAAGTTTTATATAGGAATATATAGGAAAATTTCTTTTAAAATCTTCTACTTGAGAACAACAAAGCCATGATTAGTCATATTTATATGGAAGCATCCTCAGATAGTGTAGATTCAAATTTGCTCAATCCATGATTGACCTCTGGGGCTTGGGGTAGGGTGGGGCCACAAAATACATAATCATAGTTTTACATAGGAATATATAGGGGGGAAATATGCTGATGGAGAATGACCATAGTTACTCAGGTGAGGGATGTGGCCCATGGGCCTCTTATTATTAATATCATAAACTTCATATGAAGTTATGTTGTGATATTTTTCTGAAGTAATCTCAAGTCTTAGGCAGCTTATTAGTTATTATGCATGTTTGATAAATGTTTTCTTTTTATTCTCAGAATTTAATGAAAATTGCCGGCACCTGTCTTCATCACAACTCACAACAGCTTGAGGATAGCATGTATGTTATTGTTGGTTTAATAATCATTGAGAACTTTAGGTCTTATATGACATGTATCTGTAAATATGAGGTAATTTGTTACAATTTCATTACAGGTAAATATTGATATTAAAGGTTTAAGATATATTGTAAACTTATAATGCTTATTATGTTTTTCTTGCCCACAAAGTTGTTCGGACAAATAGTTATCCCAATTTCATTGATTCTGCCCTTTCAGAATATATTTACAGCCATTGAATTATGATATGCTTTCATTTTATCTTTAAGAACCCTCTCTACACTGCACACTAAAGAGTTCTGATTCTGTGGTATTTTTCTGCAGTTAGAGTGATCTGCGCTTAGATCTAAATTCCAATAAATAGAAATTTACAGTATATTACTCAATTTGTAATCAATACAAGTATTCTTAACATTTTAAAAAGGTCAAGATAAATTAATTGAACATGTTTATATATTTACATATATTTTCTCCATGGAAGTAAACAACATTGATTTCTGTTCTCTGATACTGTGTTGTGTTTGAACATTTTACCTGGGGGTAAAATGCCACGTACCATATATTGAAAATTAAATATATAACCACAATATTTACTACACCTTTATTCAATATAATTTTTTCAATGTCCAAAAAACATGTTGCACTAGTGTAGAGAGGATCCTTAAGTGTGTGTTGTAATAATACATTAATATCATCACTGTAACCAAATTAAAAAACAAAACAAAATGAAAGAACCAAATAGACACACAAAAATTGTTTGCTAAATGGATTCAGACTTTTAAGCATCATATAACTGAATAATTCAACTGTTAATTACATGTGCATTATTTGGCAAGGAAATCTACTCCTATCTCATTATATCATTTTTTTTCTTAATTTCAAAACTAATAAAAAGTCTTGTTATTTTAGGTCAAGTGTTGAGAGCCAACTCCAGAAATTTGAAAAATCATTGGAAGAATTCTATTCAATGTGTGATCAAGTTGAAATTAGTTTGGTAAGTTTAAATATTCCAGCCATTTTTTTTTTTTTTTTCAAAAGGAACTTCTACCAAAAGATTGTTTTCTGTATTTTAATTCAATTATGGACTTTGAGGTGGTTAATTGCTTTGATATTGACCATAAAAATATCAAAAAATAACCAAGGTGAAGTCAAAACAATTTTTTTTCATCAAGAACATCTGTCACGGATAGGTTCTAAATGTCCATTTAACAAGTTTCAATATAGTGTCAAATCTTGATGATGATAAATAGTTAACTTTATGATTGTGATAATGAATTTTGATCCAGGTTGATGAAAGTTCACTGTGGAGGCATTACTTCTGATTTTGAACTTGATTAGTGGCATAATAAGGGGAAAAAAGGGAAATAAATGTTTGATGTTGAACCAAGTTCTTGTTGTGAATAATTATAATAATAGTCATTATTTACCCAGGATTACACAATTTAGCAAATATATTACCGGGTATTATGATGGTGGTCCTGCATGAAAACATATTTACGAAAAGTTAACAAGTTAACATATACTATATCTAAATATGAACACACAATATAAGAAACTCAAGCCCATGACATATATATTATCATTGTCAAGACTGGAATAGAAATAAATAAAGAAATAAAAAAATAAATTCAAAGTTTATTACTTTATCTAGTGTAAAGGAAAGTATCATATTATTATGTTATGTTGTTGAAGATGAAGAATTTCTTCTTTTATTACACAGAGACTTGCACTGGAGGGTAGTCAGTTGAATGCAGATACAGTAAAATTTATCCCTGCCTGTGTTAACATCCCCAATGAGAAAGGGGAGCTGCCATCGACACAGAGGATAATGCAATACCCACAGTATCAGGCCATTGTTAGACAACAGATCCACAGTGCTAAAGAACTTCATGACTTGTTATTACAATATGCTCAGAAAATAAGTTCAAAGACATGAGAGAGAAAGTGAGCAAGAGAGAGAGAGAGAGAGAAAGAGAGAGAGAGAGAGATTTTGAAGTTTATTCTTTGTATGTGAATTATGCTATTGAAAACAATATTTCCTGTTTTTTTTTTTTTTTTTGGGGGGGGGGGGGGTGCATTCTGCTGTTTTTTAATTTAAAAAAAAAAGAAATGAATGGTAAATGTCAGTAGTACATATATAATTTTGTGACTTTGCTTACAATTTGCCTAAATCTAATATGCAGATGCTGTTTTGAATCAAAATTATTTAAGCACATGCATAAACAAAGACACAAATAAATAAATAAAAAGAAAAGTGGAATATGAAAAATGAAGAAATTGTGTTAATTATACCATTGTAAAAATCAGGTTTGAAACAAGAGGCCCATGGGCCATTACTCTCACCTGAGTCAGCTTGGCACTGTTGTTCTTCAGAACAGTGGCCCCACCCTATCCACAATATCCATTATTTGAAATGAACAACTCTGCAATACTTAAGGGTGCTTGCATAATAAAATGACTAAGTTTTTCATTTAAAAAAAAAAGATTTTCTTTTATCCTCTATTATGGCCCCGCCCTAATCCACAGGTCATGTTTTGAAAAAAAAAAAATAACTTGAATCTACATGACCTGAGAAATTTTGCATAGATATATTACTTTTCATTGCTTTTAATATTGTTCTGGAGAAGAAGATTGTTAAAGATTTTTCCCTAATACAGTCGAGCCCTGTTAATCCAGACTTCCTATTCCCAAGCAAAATATCAAGATAAATGAAGCGTCCATATTACTGAATCATATCTTTTATAATTTGTAGATATATTATAAATGTTATTTCTTTTCCCCAACAAATTTTGTCCTGAAAGTGAAGAGTCAGATTATTGGCGCCCGGATTAGGGAGTCTAGCTCCACTATATTCCCATGTTAAACTTTGATCCCCCATTATGTCCCAACCCTACTCCCAGAGCCGATGATTTGAGCAAACTTGAATCTACACACTTGAAAATACTTGCATATCAATATGACTAAGCATGGCCTGCTGTTCTTTTTATTCAAGATATTTTCCTTTATAATATATTCTATCTTTATATTCCCATGTTAAATTTTGATTCTCTATTGTGGCCCCACCCTTCCCCCCATTGGCCATGATTTTAACAAACCTGAATCTACACTTCCTAAGGATGATTGGTCGTCACGGTAGCTCAGTCGGTAGAGTGCTAGCTCTATGATCGGAAGGTCATGTGTTCAAATCACGGCCAGGCTGACCTAAGCGGATAAAAGGTAGCAACTGCTCCTTCGATCGCCAAGTGCTCAGCACTTTTGAAGTGAAATTTGTGGGTCCTTCGGATGAGACCTTAAAAACCGAGGCCCTGTGTCAGGGTAGGTGTTGGCACAACAAAGAACCCTCACTGCTCAATGGCCCTGAGTGCCGAATAAAGGTCTAAATTTGAAGCCCTTCACAGGTATATGGTGACGTCTCTACGTGAGTGAAAAATTCTTGAATGGGACGTAAAACAACATACAATCAATCGATCAATCATAAGGATGATTCATATATTTATAAGACTAATCAAGGCCCTTCTGTTTTTGAAATAATTTTTAAAAAGATTTTTCCCTTTCCCATGTGAAATTTTAATCACCTATTGTGCCCCCCCTCCCCCCCCCCCCCCCTGGGTCCTGATTTGAACAAATTTATTTCAATCTGCTTTACCTGAAGATTCTTTATTATAATTGATATGACAATTCATGGGTCTGCTTGCTTTTCTTGATAAGAATTTTAAAGATTTTTTCCCATATATCCCCATTGTAAAACTTTGACCCCCTATTGTGGCCCACCCCACTCTGAAAAGTAATGATTTGAATAATTTAGAATCTACACTTAACCTCAGGAAGCTTTCCAATAAGTTTCATCTATTCTGGCCCGGTGGTTCTTGAGAAGAAGATTTTTTTAAAAACTTTTCTTGGTCATCTTCCCTTGGACCTTCATTTAAACAATTTATATGATTAATCTCCTTTACCCATGGATGCTTTGTGTCAATTTTTATTAAAATTGGTCCAGTGGTTCTTAAGAAGTGGAAAATGTGATAAGTCTACAGACTGATGGTCTGACAGACGGAGCCAGACAATGGGTATCAGATAAGCTCACTTGAGATTTTAGCTCAGGTGAGCTAAAATTACAGAGCATTTTTTTCTTTGTTTTTTCAACAAAAGTATTCAACAAATTGATTTAAGATCAGACGGGCATATGAGGAAAGAGCATTTGTTTTGGAATTAGTATCGCGAAGCTCCCAGTTGTTTCACCAAACATGTACCAGGCTAGCATTCACTGAAATTAGTAAAAACCATTGATGTTACAAGTAATGCGTACTTGAATTGTACAAAATTCTATGGCAGTCCAAGTAAAATTGTCAAAATATCACATACCATCTCGAAAATTCATTTCGTTATATTATGAATTAATGCAAACACTTAGATTACAGGTTATTATTGAGTATATTAACATTTCAAACTTTAAACGAAATAGGTTATGATCGAGCTGTCAATAACCCGTAAATCCCAATATTTTTGTCACGTTTCTGGTTTCATCATAACATCAGTAAACAGTTGTAAAATTAATTTAAAATGGACCTGTACGGAGATGATGCAGAACCGATAGACGCTGGTGAAGATTTATTCAAACCAGAATATAAAAGATACAAGAGAAAGGACAGGAAACTTGATCTGAGTGACGTTATCGACTTGACGAAGCTGACAAATATGGACAAGGTATCCAATCCATATTCTTCTGTTCCAGTATTAATAATACCTACACGCACACATACACACTTGACAATGCGAATGAGTAATGAAATAGAGAGTTGGAGTTTTTCTTTCAAATGATTTTTTTTTACAATATGTATGAAATATATAATTAACAGGTTGGGAGCAATCGCCCAAATGGGATAAAATAGCCCGTCTGGGATATAATATCCCAAATGGGATATAAATTCACAGTGCAAAAAAGTGAAAATTTTTATTTTGGCTATAAATATCATAAATCCGCATCAAAATACTTTAAAAGGAATACTTTTGGCAAGCAAGTTTTTCTGCAACCGTACGGGTTGTTAGATTGATCCCCAGGAATTTTACGAACTTTTTAGGGATCAATCTCTTAAACAGTGGTCATACAGAAAAACTTGTTAACCAAAAGTTATTCCTTTATAAGTATCTTGATGTGGATTTATGATATTTATAGCCAAGATAAAAATTTTCATTTTTTGCATTGTAAACAGGGATAGACAATAACTTTTAGAAATACTTGCCCTTCGGGCAAGTGACCTCAGACTTTGACTTGTCCGAATGCAAAACTTGGTTGCCCAAAATTAGGGAAGAAAAATTATTTATTAATGTAAACTGAGAAGAAAGAATGTGACCAAATACACTACTGTCAACTTGGCAAGTTGAGCTACATAAAAAAGTAATTATGATGCTTTGTTTGTACATGTGTATCACTGTCCTTGTCAATTTAATATATTAACACACTGTCATGCAGCATTATCCCTCTGTTTTCTTTTAATAAACTTCATATTTTTAAAAATTAATTTCCATAGAATCCTTTTGTGAATCGTGATTTTCAGAGATAACAAGCAACAGTAAAGGAAGACAATTGCTATGAAACATACATATCTGCATTGGGATACATCGTGTTACTTATATTCTGTGAATGAATTTCCTAATTAGAATTTAACTTTGTTATACGTAGAGCGTACCACGTAAGAAAACAGAATAATGAACCGATTTTTTTAAAATGGTCCGCATATTCTAGAAACGCTTCCAAGGATTTCCTAATGTAAATAAATGTCATTCAGGTATCTGGCGGAAATCAAGTATTCAATTTATTGTTTTATTTATAAATTAATGTAAACTTACTAAATATGTACATTTCTATGAGAAAAATTCACTTGCCCGATCGGACAAGTACGTTGACAGTTTCACTTGCCTGAAATGAGGATTTACTTGTCCCGGGCAATCGGACAACCGTTAATGTCGATCCCTGGTAAATTTATATCCCATTAGGGATATTATATCCCAAACGGGCTATTATATCCCATTTGGGCAATTGGTCACAACCTGATTAAGTGAAAACAAATTTTCGTGTTAGATGATTAGTAATATATATCAAATACCTTTTGGTTTCAATTAAGCAGGCCACCTATTAGAGAAAATGACACTTGTAGAGTGAGTTCACCATGCATTGGACACGTACCTTGCTTCAGACAACTTTAAGCTTGCATCAAACCTGAATGTGTCCCTGTTTTGACTTGTTCCATCTTAAATCCAAAGATTTAAACTTTTTAATAATGCTGATTGTTATTATCATGTGATGATAAAAATACCACAAGAATGGCCTTGAAGTGACATCAATTTGACATCATCAAAAGGATTAGTAACCAGAATTTTATGATTGTGCAAATTTTTAGAGTTGTCTTTCTTTCATTAGACTTTATCTACTAAAGCTGACCATGATTCGTAAAAGGCAGAGATCCATATTTGTCCTCCATATTACTCTTCATTTTCCATTACCTGTATGGTCCCTATGTAAGTCGTTCACTTGGTCACATTTCAATGTAATCAGTTTTCACTGCTGAGGATGGATGTGTTCTACACAACATTTTGAAACTCTTTGATGGTAGCAACAAAAGTAACTTTGCTTCTTCCACAACAGAAGAGAAAGTTACCAAAGAAACTTTCATCAGTTTATCAGGTGTAATGAATGCGAAGGGTATGCCTCAATGCTGATATTAGAGATAGGAAAACTAATATGGCATATGCCTATTTACGAGTCGTGTTGAGCTTTAATTTGGGAAAAGAATTAGGTATTGATGTCATTAGACACAATTATTTCCAAGTACATTCATGACACCTATATGTTTGGTCACTACTGGAGATGAACCCTTCAGATTTCCAACTAAGCCAAATATCTGTTAATATTTAAGGTTGAAGAAATAGCTCTACAGGCTTCTCAGCATCCTGCAGTGAGGGGATTAAAACCTCTGAAGGAGTGGAAAAGTTATGCAATCAAAGGTTTTCCTGGTAAGTAAGTTAATACATTAAGAAAAAATAAGATGAAGTACATATTATTAAAAGTACGTTATTAAAAACATACCGGCCAGGGTATGTTATGAAATTCTTTACATGTGTATCTACTCATACTATATTCTAAAATTAATTTTCTAGCATGTTCAAGAATTTTTTTAAATAATCTTTTATTATTTCGTTACTACATACATGTAATATTGTGATTTTATTATAGGGTTCATCTTTATAAAGAATCCCTTTGAGGATGGACAACAGAGATTCTGGATTGAGCGATGTGTGCTGGATTATCCCAACAAGCCCAGCAAAACCATTTTAGATAACTTGGTGGACATGAGTGATATTGATAACATTTGGTTCTACAGTCAGAATCAGTCTATGTATGTAGAAATTTTACAACAGCCTACTCTAAATGGATTATTGAGTACTAGTATATGTTGTATGAGTAAAATATGAAGATAACAAACAGTAATCAAGCTCAAAAGTCCACTTGAACAACAAATGAGGAGCAGAGCAAACATGGACCTCTTTGAACATAGAGGTGGGATGAGATGCCATGGAGGAGTAAGCATCCCCTGTGGACTGCTCACACCTATCATGTGCTCCTTGTCATGATCAGGCAAACGGAAAAATCCATAGACAATTCAGTGTGAAAATAATGGCCTAACAATTTGTATGAAAAACATCAGTCAACATTTGACTTAGTAATAGATTGTATTTGCTAATAAGGTCATTGTATCAACCATAGAATTTGCAAAATGTTGACTTTAAATGGAACTGTTGATATCCTTGTAACACTAACTTATTTGTCAATAGTTATTCTTGTTTTAGAAATTGTTTGTATGTATCAAATTAACTGGGAGACATAAACTCAATATGCAGGTGATAGTGGACTGGTATATTGCTACATAAATAAGGGAAAGTTGAAGTCATCACGTTTATCAAAGTCTTGCTGTTAGGTTGCCATTAATGTCCTTTTCTAGTAAAATATCCAAATATGAAACAGATGGTCAGACTCATTGGGTGTCTTTTATTTCGCAATAGGGAATGGGGCCTAAATTTGACCCTACACACCGCAGTGGAAAATCCCTGTTGATAGCTCTAATATACTTTTAAAGATTTCTTTTTGCACTAGTTTTCCTTTGTGTACTATTTTCTACCTTGAGTGACATAACTTCTGAATACAGTGTATAAAAATGTTTTAATATTACTTTTATTTCTGTTATCAAGTTCAAATTGAGAGTGATTGCAATATTTCCACCTCAGAAAATTGCCATAGTTAGGGACATCATATTTCACACACATTTCTTGCTTCTCCTAGTTTGACTTTTAACTTAATCTTTCACTAACTGTAAAATTTTATTTTAGCTCAAACATCACCGGGAAAGAGAGCCTTATCATGAAGCTTAGATGGGCAACTATGGGATACAATTATGAATGGAATTCGAGAGTAAGTTAACAAATGCATGTTTTACTTTGCTACAGTTTTTGTTGAATGAATAAAAAGTTAAAAAAGAAATAACATGCTGTTGTGTCTTTGCAAGTCAAATACAGTTGAACTTCAATATCTCGAATACCATGTGCATATGTCAAAGTCATTTGGAAGTCCGAACCACTTTTCCTTGATGTATTTTACCCTCAATATCTCATACCCTCAGATATCTTGAATTTTTTTTTGGTCCTATCAGGTTCAAGATAATGAGGTTTGACTAGTGTAAGATATTTCCTGCAAAATTCAAATACTTGTATTGTTCTTTTGTTTTATTACCAGGCCTACTATGATGAAATGAAGTCCTCCTTTCCATCAGATCTGCATGAACTCTGTCGCTATATAGCCTCTGTTGTAGGCTACCACAACTTCTCTGCAGAGACTGCCATTGTGAACTACTATCACATGTCTGGAGATATGGGGCCACATAAGGACATCTCAGAGATTGACCATGATGCTCCTCTGCTGTCTTTTAGGTAAAAATTGCTGAATAATAAAAGTAATCTCAATGGATTCCTAATCTTGCTTTTTCAGTGGCCTGGTATAGTTTGTCTGCAAATTCTAAGATTAAAAATATTGAAGTTTTACTACTTTGTTTTTTGTGTGTGTGTTTGTCATTTTTTCTTTTTTTTCTGAAATTCACCTTTTCCAACCAACCCTGATTTTTATAACAGCAGAAAATTCTGACAGACAAAAGATTACATTGAAAAAAAATCTTTTTATAAAAGCTCTCCAATGGTCTAGTTTTAATGTAAATCTTTTTGATTTAGCTTTGGTCAGGATGCATTGTTCTTGCTTGGTGGAATGACAAAAGCCACAAAACCTGTTTGTCTGTGTCTACATAGTGGTGATATTTGCATCATGTATGGTGACTGTCGACTTGTGTATCATGCTGTTCCTCGCATTCTGCCGGCCAGTGAAGATATTCTCGGACAATGTTACAATTTTAGCACTGTATCAAATAGTTGTGAGAACAAAATTACACCAGGAGAAAATGGCATTTCCTGTCAAAAAGAGTTGGAAGGTAAATCAGCTGGGAGACAGGAAGTGAACTGGGACTTGTTTAGTCAGTATTTACAGTGTACAAGGATAAACATGAATGTCAGACAGGTTTTACCTCCTGGGGGGACAAACATTGCAGACTACCCCAAACCTGTCTGTCCATCACTCAACTGTAAAAGAGAGATAAAGAATTAGTACGAAGAGTATATTCTAGAAATAACAAATGGAAAGGATTAACAAGGGAAGGTAGTCATATAAAATGTTTTTGCTTCTGTGATAATTTTCAGAAACATTGTTAATAAAAGCAACATGTACTTTACATAGTACCTTTAATATTGTTATGTGTTGTCCATTACATAAAAATATCAAGGAATTATTAGCTATACATCATGGAACTAGGACATATAACATTACATATAAATGTTGATAACACATTTTAAAACAACAGTAAAATAAAAATGGAATGCTGATGGAGGATCATGGGAACTGGAATAACAGGCACCTGATGAATGAATGGTGTATACCCTCCTCCCCATCCTGAGAATTTTTATTAAACATGATTACTTATCAAAAAGACATGAATTCCTAGCCTATCATACCTATATTCCAATATCTGATATTATTTTCCGCTTTTGTTAAGATTAAGAGAGTGGCCATCTATGGTATATTAAAAATACTATATTTTTACATACCATAAAGGGCCAATCTCTTAAACTTAACAAAAGTGGATAATAATATTGGAAGATAGGGTAAGATAGGCTTGGAATTCATGTCTTTTTGATAAGTAATCATGCCTAATAAAAATTATCAGAAAGGGGAGGGGGGGTTACACAATCCTGTGACTGGAACTGGTCAGCATTTTCTAATGCCACAGGTAAACAGAAAAATTGTACATCAACAGTTACTAATACAAGTGAGAGCCTCTGTTAACATGATATCCCAACTTTGCCTTGGTACCAGGTCAAAAGTATATCTGTGAACCTCTAGCTTGCATTAGTAATCAACAATTAATAAAGACTTGTATTTTGACTTGATTCAGAGTGACAATACCTGCATTTTTTGGGACAAATACCTATATTTTGTGCATGTCCTGGTGTAGAGAAAATTGGTATACTTGCTTCATTTTATTCAGGATAATTTACTTCTTTTATTTTCTAGATAGCTTACCTGGGCTAAAGGTTCAAGTAAGTAATTAGGTATGATCAATCTGATAAAAATGTACACCCTCAATCTGACACATTTTCAACTTTTCCAGAACCACATCGGGCAAATTTCAACCAAACTTGTCACAAAGTTACCTTGAATAATGGAGATTCAAACTTGTTCAATGGAGGGGCCACACCATTTTTCAAGGGAAGCTAATTTAAAGAAATACATTTAAATGTCAAAACAGGTTGGGTTCATTTGAATATCTTAAGAACGATCTCTTGGCTAGAAGAGACAAAACTGCTGTGAAAGCAGATTCAAGTACCAGGTATCGTTAATCATGGCCCCTTGGCTAGGATGTGGGGCCTTAAAGGGTGTCAAAGTTTTACACGGAAATAAACGGGAAAAATTCTTAAAGATCATTCCAAGAACCATACGCTGTTAGAGCCAGAAAATGACAACATTTACATGAAACATTCATTATGCAGTGTAGATTCAAGTTTGTGCAAATCATGCCTCCCCTGGGATAGGGTGCATGCATGGTACACAGAAAGGAGTTGTTTACATACAGGAAGAAAGAACCAAGCCATTAAAAATTTAGCCTATATAAATAAATTAATAAACATTTCTTAATAGTGAAAATAAATTTACTCAATTCATGGCCCGACCCCATGGCTAGTATCGGTACGTTCTTAAAGTAATTTTTTAACAGATTTTAAAAGGATTCCCCTGAGCCACAACACCTATATCACATTCTCTGGTATATCTACTGGTGGATAAATAAAATTTGTGTCAATGATTTCAACCATTTTTATTTTCAGTTTTTTTTTAATAAAGGCTTTATGTCATTGAACTCTGCAAATTGTAGCCTTCTACTCTTGCAGATGCCTAGATATACGTGCGATGCGATCGGTCACGGGAATAAAAAGTATTGAGACAGCTTTGTATGTGCTGGGGTGTTACTAGCTGTAAATAATACCAGAAAATAGTTAAATTGGGTCAATATTTATACAATTACACTTTCGCCAAGAGTACATTTGTAAAGTAGTTTCTGCAAGGATTGGCTATCAAATTGACAATAATCCAAACTCTGAATTTTCATGCCTTCAAATAGTTTGTCGTTGTTATAATTCACCAACATTGAAGGTTATTGTTATGTAGCAATTCTTGGAAGTATGAACTACACTTTTTTTAAAATTGAAAACTGCATACATTAGCTTCTAAACAATTTTTAACTGGAAAATCTGACAACTTTGATACTAGTATATATCTGTATAAAACTATGAAATTGTTTCAAACTTAGTCGCACAAGTCAATGCTTTGAAAAAAAAACCCAAATCTTTATTGCATGATGATGCCTGCATATCAACACGTCTAATTCTGGACTTCTTCACTTGAATTGATGTAAGGGCAATGGTTTTATAAACAAATCTGTGTCTAAGCCAAAAGAAGATTTTTAATCATTGCTCTCTTCATTGAAGCATATTATATAGATTTGTTTTTATTTATATTTCATTTTTATATATTCCCGTGTAAAACTTGACACACCTTGACAAATTAAACAAATTTAATTAAGAAAGCAGGGGTAAAACACACACACACACACACAAAACGGTGTTAGAGGGGGTCACAAAAAGTATTTTAACGACAAAAGTATAAAATGCATGCTCCTGAAAGTTTAAACAGGAATTGGAGAGCCTGACAGTTATTTTTTGTTTTCAAGCTGTGATAACCAACATATGGATGTATTTTTGAACCCTACATGGAAACTTTAGATTTTGCCCTCAGTTTGACATGTGTCTGGCACTACAGCAGTGTGTTTATCTTGCATGGTTCACCACAGGTGTTCGATCTGAACTATAGCTAACACAGCATTGAATCGTTTTTTGTACCTTTTTTTCTTCCGAATCATGACCTCTTGGGCTGGGACAGGCGCGGATCAAATCATGGCCGTAGGAAACGGGGGGGGGGGCGTGCCCCCCCCCCCCAATAATGCCAATATATAGATTAATTACTATTGTAAAATTAGGCATTATATGCTTGTGCCCCCTAAAAAAAACGTCTGATGACTTTTTTTTTTTTTTTTTATTAGTTGATGACTTTTTTTTTTTTTTTTTTGCTCATCGAAAAATTTTTGGTAGTGCCCCCTCAACTGAAAATGTATGCCTGTGCCCCCGAAAACTGAAATTGCTTCCTACGGGCCTGATTTCATGGCGATGTTGGTGGGGTCCATGTTTTCTTTTTTTGAGGGGGGATCGAGGTCATACATGTAAGTCATTTTCTATATATATATTCATATAAATATATATATATATATATATATATATATATATATATATATATATATATATATATATATATATATATATATATATATATAGGCCCGATTTCCCCACTTGATGCCCCTAAAACATATATAAATGTTTCCAAAGACGATTCCATTTATGGGGGTGTTCAGTATAACTTGAAAAACTAAAATGAAATATACAATATTTAAAACACCGTAACATGAATTGTTAACAAATAGTGGTATCAGTTATGATACATTTTAGGCTTGAAAAGGTAATTGATCTATAAGAAACATGACAATGCACAAAAAGATCCCAAGATTTCCCTTTTATGGTAGAATCGTCCAAATCTGCTTGCATCACCCAACATTGATCAACGAGCACGTTGCGAGAAGGACGAGTAAAGGACGAAGATGGCGGACGTTAATACAAATAACGAAGAAAAAACACCATTAAACGAAGCAGCAGTGGAGCCAGATTTAGATACCAAGGCACAATTTGTAAATGGGGGAAAAGAACTCGAGCCACACGTCGCCATAGAATGTGGATCGGGTGACGACGTGAGTTTTACGGGATTGGGAAAGGAGGAGTTGATGCAGTATGCCGATGATCCTTTCTGGAAAAGGGTACGTCTTATTCTCCTCATCGTCTTCTGGGCGGGATGGATTGCTATGCTGGTAGCGGCCATTGTTATCATTGTCCTGGCCCCAAGATGTCCCTACAGACCTGACCAAAAATGGTATGACAAAGAGGTCGTCTACGAAATCCTTACGGAATCTTTCCAGGACACCAGTCCCAAGTTAGAAGGCGTGCAGAAGGAAGGGGATAGAATTGGAGATATTGATGGTATATTTAGTTAATTATCATATTTCAATGATTTAGTTTGTTATTTTTATGGTGGTGGTCGCTCTGTGTGGATGACGTAAATGATGGCCTTGGGTGATGCAACATACTGATCATGTTGTTCAGTTGTGCATTATTCATGCATATATTAAATGGTGGAACTGAAGCAATATGCAATTAATTGGTTCTTATGTCTGACAAAACGCATGTTGTCCTCGAAGTCGAACGCAGTCAATAATTGTAGTCAGGGTGTTCCATAGAAATGTAAAATTGTGTTAACAGGTTGGGAACAATCGCCCAAATGGGATATAATAACCTGTCTGGGATATAATATCCCAAATGGGATATCAATTTACAGTGCAAAAAAATGAAAATTTTTATTTTGCCTATAAATATCATAAATCCGCATCAAAATACTTTAAAAGGAATAACTTTCGACAAGCAAGTTTTTCTGCAACCCTACGGGTTGTTAGATTGATCCCCAAGAAGTTTACGAACTTCCGAGGGATCAATCTCTTAAACCATGGTCATACAGAAAAACTTGTAAACCAAAAGTTATTCCTTTAAAAAGCCAAGATAAAAATTTTCATTTTTTGCATTGTAAATTTATATCCCATTTGGGATATTATATCCCAAGCGGGCTATTATATCCCATTTGGGCGATTGGTCCCAACCTGTTAAAATTAATTTAAACAGCCAGTGACAGTCTATACCAAGGATAATCAAAGTATAATCCTGACTAAGAAATAGACAGCCCACAGGAAGCAATTTTCTTGACAAAAAAACCCAAAAAACAAACAAGAAGAGAAACAAAAACAAAAAAGACAAGAAAGAAAAAAAAAAGAATTAAGAAAGGTCATCATTGACTAAAAGCAATGGGCATTTATTCATGGTGCTCAAATGCAGATATCATATTAAAGGGCATATGTTCAATAATCCAAATTTTGTTAAAAATTATTTTTTTCAATTTGACAGGTATTGCATCTCGGTTGAGCTACCTTAAAGAGGATGTTGGAAGTAAAGCTCTCTACATAAACTCAATGTATGAAAGTGATGATAATGAACACATGGCAGTTGTTAACCACAAGAGTTTGGACAGTGTACTAGGAACTATGGGAGACTTTGACCAGCTCCGCAAAACCACTAAAAAGATGGAAAGTAAGTTGACCTACTTATGTCAGTTGAAAATCAAATTGAAATGTATATTTATGCAATTTGTAAAAAGAGAAAAAAAAAAAGAAAAGCAAACTGAGATGGTCTTCTATAGGCTTACTTGGACCCAGTAGCAAGGACCTTCTAAGAGACCAACAAAATATACCTCCAAAGCAAACAATAATGAAATGCTTGGTTATAAAGATATTTTTTGTCATTAGTAAGAGACAATCATTAGACACATCATATTTTTTTTTTTTGTCACTCTATAGTGCGCCTAATCATGGACTTCATTCCTAACCACACGGGTAAAAAACATGAATGGTTTGTGAAGAGTCGGAAGAAAGATGGGAAATACACAGACTATTATGTCTGGGCTCCATGTGATCCAAAGGCAGGCACCTATCAAAACAACTGGGTAATTAAATATCAATTATTTTTGAAAATATTCCCTTGCCAAATTTCTGTAGAGTAATGGTAGTCTGCTTCTGTTTGAATGATCTTATTTTTGTTGATATGAAATTAAATCTACATTTATCAATACATCAATTTATATGGTCTCCAGATGAGTGTAAAAGGCAATAGATCATGGACATATGATGACACCAGAAAGGAATGTTACCTCCATCAACTGGAGAGCGACAAACCAGATCTGAATCTCTGGAATGCTGACGTCAAGCAAGAACTGGAGGTATGTAATTGCATTCTAAATTTAAAGAGAAAGGTTTTGTTAGTAAAAAGGAAAGGGAGTGGGAAATGAAATGTGAAATTATTTATTTTCAACAGGGTATCCTGCGTTTCTGGCTGGACAAAGGAGTTGATGGCTTCCATGTCTTGAATGCTGAGTATTTGTACGAGGACCAAAGTCTTGGTGATGAAATTCTGATATCTGGAAAAGCAGGGACAGTAAGGGAATATTCATTAAAATATATTTAAATGGTACACTAAGTTATGAATTAGTTGTAAAATTTATATAAAGGAAATGGCATTTTTATGTGATATGTATATAATTATAGGCATATGATGACTTCGAGCACAACCAAACTATGAACCATCCAGAGAATCTGAAGCTGCTGACTGCCTGGAAATCTGTACTTGAATCCTACAATACCAAGCCAGGCAGAGAAAAGGCACTCATTGTCACAGCTAAGGATGATTTGAATACCACAATGATGTACTTTGATGCTGGAGCCACCATTGTACGAGTCACCCCGTTGTCGGACAGCGGTGCCTCATTGGCTGAACGTATTGAGACCAAACTTAAAGACTCCAATGCTAAGAGAATTGGATGGATGGTGAGAAACTTCTTTATTCAAGCTTTAATCTTTCTTGATTGCTATCATTACAGTAATAAATGAGGTGGACAAATCCAAGTTTTACTGGTAAAAACCAATGTTTTGGCATTTTTGTTTTCAGTATAGCAATAAAGATTCCAGTCGTCTTGCAAGTATAGCCAATCCTGAACAAGTGAAAGCTTTGTTGACTCTTCAAGCCACCTTGCCTGGTGTTCCCTTTAATTACTATGGAAATGAGATAGGTATGACAGACCATCCAACATTTGGAGAGCCACAAAAGTACAGAACCCCCATGCAGTGGAATTCTGAAGGAACAGGGTTTTCAAAGCATAGCAAGAAATGGCTTGATCAAAATCCCAACTATGAGAATGTCAATGTTGAGGTAAGAAATTATCATTATGAATTTAACTTGATTACAGATGATAAAGGGAATAAAATGTTGATATTCAATAGAGTGAAGAATTTGTATGTAACTGTATACCTCAATTTCTTAAATTTACAGACAGAGAATGCTATTGGAGATGATTACACCACACTGAAGGTATATGGAAGACTATCAAAACTTCGGGAAAAAGAGTCCTTCCAGTGGGGACTTATGAAGGTTTTTAGAGATGGGGATCTCCTAATGTTCACCAGAAAGGCCGAGGGATTTCCTGGGTATCTAGTGGCCATCAATCTTGGATCCAAGAGGGTAACTGAGTCCTTCCATGGGGCCACTGGAATCCCCAAGAATGTCAAAGTGGTGTTCCATACCCATAAGGATGATAACACTGCCATCAATCTGTCTGATAACTCCTACATTCTGGAAGCAAATCATGCAATTGTTTTGGAATATGAATAAATTTGGTTGTTCTCTTGCAACTTTCAACAAACCTGGAACCATACATTTCTTTTAATATATTATCAAAATTTTGCATTGGAAATTTGTTTTTAAAATACATGTTCATGTAAAGCGCAAAAATGAAAATTATTCGATTAAAAATGATATATAGATGGTCAACTTTCAGGAAATAAATATTTGGCTATGATGTGTGTGTGTTTTATTTTGAAAAAAAAAGTGTTGACCTATTTTGGAAGGAGAGAATAAGTCACGATTCCCTTGTGTTTAAAAAAAAAATTTTTACTAGATGATTTTATAGCTTGCTTTGAAGAGTAAACTATATTTTCTAAAGGTAAAGTGGGACACTGCATATTAATTTACATGAAGAGAGAAAAAAAATACATAGTATAAATATTCACATCAATGCTCACTATTAGATCAAAATAATTTGCTGTGGGAATGCAATTAAAAACATTGATTATGCTGAAAAGAATGTCGAAAAATTCTCGATTTAGAGAGGGTTACGACTACAGGAAAATGTGGCTGTCTGATGTGTTTGCAGTATATTTTGCATCGAGGAGGCGTAATATTGAAAGGGGGCATTCAAAGTGAGGACAATCCTCAGCTCTGCGACTCGAGATTACATTCATCATTAATGTTTAAATGATGGAAAACTAAATATAAAAATCTATTTTTAGGTCTCCTGAGTTTACTCAGGTGCCCTATTCTGTTTTCGTCCATCAACTTGCGACTTGCGTTAACATTTGAACATTTTCAGCTTCTTCTCTGGAACCACTGAAACAATTTCAACCAATTTAAGCATATAGCATCTTTGTGTGGAGGGGAGTAAAAATTGTGAAATTCATGACCCCTACCTCCCTGGGGCCTGAGGGGTGGGGCTAAAACCATCAGAATTAATGCAATCTTTAAAAATCATCTTTACTCCTGGACATCAAGCAGGCAAACTGTTGGCATAAATGTAACAAGAGGCCCATGGGCCACATCGCTCACCTGAGTAACTGGCCATGCTGTTCTTTACCAGATTTCCCCCTTGTAATACTTATTGTGGCCCCGCCCTACCCCCGGGGGTCATGATTTTAAGAATTTAAAATCTACACTATCCTAGGATGCTTCCACATAAGTTTCAGTTTTTCTGGCCCAGTTGTTCTTGAGAAGAAGATTTTTAAAGATTTTTCTTATATATTTCAATGTAAAACTTGGATTCCCTATTGTGGCCCCGCCCTATCCCCGGGGGTCATGATTTGAACAATTTAGAATCTCCACTACCCCAGGATGCTTCCACATAAGTTTCAGCTTTTCTTGCCCAGTGGTTCTTGAGAAGAAGATTTTTAAAGATTTTTCTTATATATTTCAATGTAAAACTTGGATTCCCTATTGTGGCCCCGCCCTACCCCTGGGGGTCATGATTTTAACAATTTAGAATCTACACTACCCCAGGATGCTTCCACATAAGTTTCAGCTTTTCTGGCCTAGTGGTCCTTGAGAAGAAGATTTTTAAAGATTTTTCTTACATATTTCAATGTTAAACTTGGATTCCCTATTGTGGCCCCGCCCTACCCCTGGGGGTCATGATTTTAACAATTTAGAATCTCCACTACCCCAGGATGCTTCCACATAAGTTTCAGCTTTTCTGACCTAGTGGTTCTTGAGAAGAAGATTTTTAAAGATTTTTTTACATATTTCAATGTAAAACTTGGATTCCCTGTTGCGGCCCTGCCCTACCCCCAGGGGTCATGATTTTAACAATTTACAATCTACACTATCCCAGGATGCTTCCACATAAGTTTCAGCTTTTTTGGCCCAGTGGTTCTTGAGAAGAAGATTTTTTAATGACCCCACCCTATTTTTGTCTTTTCTTGATTATCTCCCCTTGTAAGGGGACTTGGCCCTTTATTTTAACAATTTAAATTCCCCTTCACCCAAGGATGCTTTGTACCAAGTTTGGTCAAAATTGGCCCAGTGGTTCTTGAGAAGAAGTCAAAAATGTGAAAAGTTTACAGACGGACGGACAGACAGACAGACGGACGACGGACAAAATGTGATCAGAAAAGCTCACTTGAGCCTTCGGCTCAGGTGAGCTAAAAAAGCATTGAGCCCTCTACCTAAATGTGAAATTCATGGCCCCAGTGTCAGGGGTTCTGGTGCTATGGCAGGGCTCTGTTGAATATATTATGGTGTCCGGATAGGGCCATTTGCAAAAGCTCAACAGCGCGTTCAGAAAAACACGCCGTCGCGCTAACACACAACACGCTGTCACGCTAACACAATTTCGCACAACACGCCGTCGCGCTAACACACAACGCGCTGTCACGCTAACACAAGTTCGCACAACACGATGTCACGCTAACACACAACGCGCTGTCACGCTAACACAAGTTCGCACAACACGATGTCACGCTAACACACAACGCGCTGTCACGCTAACACAAGTTCGCACAACACGATGTCACGCTAACACACAACGCGCTGTCACGCTAACACAAGTTCGCACAACACGCCGTCGCGCTGTCACACAACTCGCTAACACAACTTTGCACTCACAGTCTACAGGGAAGTCGTGTACGGAAATGCGGACTGCGCATGCTGATTGAACTAATACACGTGTAATGGAGGGATATTCGTCTTTGACCATGTCAGAAAACCCAGAGGACATAACTCGTAAATATTACACTGTATTTAAATGCTATTTAATGGTTTTACAGAAGGTTTTTTTTTTTAAATCAAATGAAAATTTAGAAATTATAAAGCTTAGAGACCGAATTTAATCATTACATTTACAAATTCATACGTGTAGTAAGTTAATATCTCTTGTCCAATTGTATGAACTTTTATTAATGAATTTTTAATTAAAATATATTTTACTGATGGCTTAATAGGAATTGAAAACAACCTATATATTATAAACTTTCTCCAGGGAGTGGAAATCTAACATATTATGAATATAGCGATATTACTATTATAGTAATTACAGAGTCGATCTGGTATTCAGGTGCTTGGGTCTTTGCTCATGAATATGTACAATAACTACATGAACTATGTACATTATGTAATAAATAAAAAGATATAAAGGTAGCGTACACATGAACAAAGACCCAAGCACCTGTGATTGTGTAATTTTGTGTAGAAGGGGAATTAAATGATAAATTAATTACCTTAGTTTAACTTTTACCATGCAGTAGTCAGTAGTTGCATTTATAATAATTTGTTCTTTTTCTTATTGATATTAAAGGAGAAGACCTCATTCGAGAATACTTTTATGGTGGATACACAAATCTGGAGATATGTGGTATCCTGCTCTTGCGACACAAAATAGTAATAAGGTACATGTAATATTTGAAAATTGAAATTGGTCTGCCAAGTAGTCAAAATCTAGGTAATGTGATTACTCAAGTGTACATTGTTACTTTACAGCCTGTCATATATTACACCTATTTATTTTGAATAGGAAACCTCTAGAACACTCTTATATTCTATTATGGGTATTTCTTTTTAAGAAGAGTTCACATAGATCTGCCCAGAACAGGGTGGATTCTAGTCAGCACCAGTTCGGAACTAGAAGAACTAGGAAAAAATTGAAATAAATCAACTTTTTAACAAAAAAGAAGGAAATTCTTTACCTGAGAAATCATTAATTGCATTACAATTTCCTGTTGCAAGTGACCGCACTTTAAGTAACTTTGTTTGGTGATCACTAACTAATCCAAACCATAAAAATGATCAATTGATTGTTGAAAAACAAAAATTTAAAGAAATTTTCCCTAGATAAAATCACACAATGAAGTGCAAATGCATGTCTATTACATATAGCTGAAGTCATATGTCATTTAAACAAACTTCCTAGCTTTGATTTAGTAAATAATGTGAAGCTTGACACAAAATTTTTAACTGTATTGAGAGAAATCAATTACTTTACTAATATGTTGTAATTTGCCCCCCCCCCCCCTTCCTAAAAAAAGAGAGAGAGAGGGAGAAAAGAAACATGAAAAACCCAAAACCCACAAGTCATATTAACTGACAGAATTACTGAATTTTAAGAAAATGTTAAATAATAGAATATTTCTGAAATTTTGTTTTATTGATCAGCACAATTTATATCCAAGGCAAACAAAATATCAATTTTTTATTGATTGAATTTTTACATCCAGTGTGAGACATCTGAAAAGGATAATGGCAATGATGGGACTTAATAGACGGATGCTGCAAAACACTGTTGAGGCATCTTGTGTTATCATGGTAAGATTAAAATTATTAAAATAATTGGAAGTAGAGAATTAATCATTAATGGTTCCAAATATCCTCTTTACAAAAGTGAAAAATAAATTTGTCTGTAATCACTTTAAATTACTGACAAGAAATTGAATTGAACTTATTGAGTTGGCTCTTATATATACAGTTGTTAATTAATAGCAATTAATGCTTATTTTGTATTGAATAAAGTTGGAGCAAGGTCAGAGTTTATGGTCATGTTCTCAATTAATTCACACAAAAGTGCATATTATTTGAAATCAAATTAGTTGCTCTGTATTTTACCATATTATAAAGTTTCCAATATTTCAATACCTAATTTTTGAAAGAATAAATCTGATGATTTTTTAAATGAAAAATTCAATTTTCAGAGTAAATATAATGTACATGTAGTAAAGAGTGTAATTTAAAGTAATCCTATGGTAGTAATTGTAAAATGTAAATGTAATTGTGATATGCATGCATATATAGTTATATCCACACAAGTGACATTACTACTTCTCTCTAAGTATAATTATGATGAAATGAAAAAGAAGTATTCAAAAATAGAATTCTTTTAGGAAGAACTGCGGGGAAGTGGTTCTTCTCTTGGATGTCGTGGATTACAGCGTCGTCTTTTATCACATCATGGACTTGTGGTTTCAAGGTTAGTTTTTGTACAGCATGCTAAATAATAAGGGTGGAGGGCAAAGAAGAAAATGATGAAACATTGTAAGTTAAGTTATGCAACTTTTAAGCAATCATGAATACAATGATAATTTGCTTAGTGTGAACTCAGATTTTTTTTTTTTTTTTGTTTAATTGTGCCCATCATTATTTTGAATAAAGAGAACAAGTTTTAGCCATTCAAAAGGAATTGGACCCTATTGGTGTTTTGGAAAGAAAACAGAGGCGTCTAAAGAGAAGAGTATATCATAACAAAGGACCTAATTATCTTTTACATGTGGATGGGTATGATAAGCTTAAGAGGTTTGGATTTGCTATTCATGGATGTGTTTGTGGGTATGTGTTATAAATTTCTGTGTTATGTATCACATGTTTCAATATTACCAGTATTAAAATATATGTAACAAAAGAAATAGTTTCATGCCAAGAATGCTTTCGCCACAACTGAAACACTTGCTGTCAGTGCATTAATACAATTCCTTGGTTGATATGTAAAAGTGCTCATTGTCAAGACCAAAGAGCACGTTTGCAATCATATATTTGGTAATAATGTATGTTTCATAAAGAAAAATTTACACTGTTCTGTTCTATTTTAAAAATATTTCCTCACATGTCTTTTTCAAAGATTTTCAAGGCGTGTGTTGTGGCTAAAAGTAGGCAGATCAAACAATGATCCCAGGGTGATCGCTTCATATTTTTTGGATTTTTTAAAAGAAATTAAAGGTAAGGTCTTCCATATTTTTATGACAAGTTTGAAATACTTGAAACACTTTCTAAAGAAAAAACATTAATGTAGATGTTAATTGTGTTTGAAAAATCTGTTATCTTTCAATTAAGTAAAAACTTAATCCATAAGAAATAATGGATCAGCTTTAATTGAATTTAGTGCATTAAGCAAAGTAACTATAGGTGAACATAAAATATGATTTTTTTATGATCTCATGGAGTATGTAGACTTTATAATGTTGGGTCCATGAAAGAATCATTATGATGAAGTTTCAATGAATCTTCTTCACTTCCTCAAAGCATCTATGAGATTTTTATCATAGAAAACAATGTGTATAACAGTAAATAAACTTTATACAGCAAGTTTAATTGATTATAATATATGATTTAAAATATATGCCTTAACTGCAACAATTTTAATCATATCTTAATAATTGCTGTAAAATTAAAGGTTATAAACATGGATAATATGAATTTTTGCATATATAGAATTGATTTAGACCCATGCACTAGCTCTTATCATGTGAATTGTGCATATATTTATTCTCGTGCTAATTAAAAGTGGGATTCTAAAATAATAAACATATTACCAGTTACCGGTATATCAGTGCTTTTATGGTCAATTTAATGACTGCATGGTTTTAACCACCCTCCTCTCTATCAATATGTATTGAATTAAAGGAGTTCCTAGGTGTATCAGATCAGATGAAGGAACAGAAAACTGTATCATAGCTGATATTCAACGGGCCTTTCGGTGGTACCATGATGATGATATGGCTGGGGAGAGAAGTTTTCTAACAGGATCATCACCTTCAAATCAAGTATTATAAACATTAATATGTCTAAATTAATTTTACATAATTTGTAATTAAACAGTATGTAATATAAATTAAAAATGAAACAACTAATCCCAATAAATGTTCTCGTTTGCTCCGCTTCAGAGAATAGAACGATGGTGGTTGTCAAACAAACAAGGTGGTGGACAATTCTGGATGGAGTTTTTTAACAATTTAGAGCACATAGGAAAGTTTTCCACCACAAACCATGTTCAACTGTAAGTTCTTTCACCAAAAAAAAAAAAATGGATACAGTACACTTTCATACTAGGATCTATAGATCTCATTAATTGCATGTTCAAATTTTAAATGCTAGACACAAAATTTCAATTTTGGATTAATCCAGACTGATTATGTGGACTTCCATTTAATTCTTTGTGATGAAGAGGTATAGTGATGGAGGCCATGTAAATTTCATGTCTCTATATATATGCATATATGCTTGCATTGCTTTTGTCCAAAAGATTGCAATTAAGGAATTAAGAATTTAAATTGATCTGGGTTTACAGATTTCCTCAAAGATGGGTTATTGTCAACAGTGTGGCTTACATGTAACACTGTTTGCTTTTCATATAGACCCTTCCTTTTACAGAAGTCGTATATTAGGTACAGCAAAATCAAAAGTATGCACATTTTTCTTCCTATGATATTAAAATTGAGTCAATATGCTCATTGAAGTATTAAATACTGGTAAAAAACCTTCTTTGGAAACCTAAAATCACCAATAAAAAACCAAAGATGAAGGATTTTTATATAAATGAATAAGTACAGAAATAATTTTTTTACTTGTAAGATTTAATTAAAATTTGTCATAAAAGATGTAAGACTAATTGTTATGCTTAAATTAAAATGACACCTCTACAGGACCAAATCAGTTCTATATGATTATCAAGAAATTCAAAATATATACGAGTTCATTATAACTCTAAATTTTACAGGAATTATGAAGAATTTTCCCAGGGAAACCACAAAGTTTCCTGATTTCATGATATGCATGTGCATTTGTATTAAACAAGTTAAATTGTTTTTTTTTGTGTCTTATAGCCTTTTCATGTTTAAATATAGGTCTTATCTTGAGTACTCTACAAGGCCTAGGGTCTGATCAGTTAATGAATCATTTTTAGCTCACCTGAGCTGAAAGCTTAATTGAGCTTTTCTGATCACCTTCTGTCCGGCATCCATCTGTATCTGTCCGTATGTTTGTTTGTAAACTTTTCACATTTTTTACTTCTTCTCCAGAACCACAGGCCAATTTTTAGAAAACTTGGCAGAAAGCATCCTTAGAGTTTGTTAAAATGAAGAGCCACACCCTCTTTCAAGTGATTGAAAATTTGTAGGCCTTTTAAAAAATCTTATCCAAAAGCATTTGGCCAGAAAAGCTTTAACTTGTTGTAATCATGTAATGACAATGGCATCAGGACTTTCAATATTGAACCTATTACTGTGTGGATGCATCCTTAGGTAGTGTAGATTCAAGCTTGTTCAAATCGTTCCCCAGGGTAATGTTGGGCCACAATGGAGGGGATGGGGGTTGAATTTTCACATAGGAATAAATAGAGAAAAATCTACTTTTAAGGTGGTTTGGGACACCTGTTGATATTAATGTGGATAATAGTACATAGTAATCAAAATACTCTCACCGTTTTAAAATTCTGCAATATTTTATGAAAAAAAAATTTTTTGAAAGGTAAAAATTACACATAATTAGGCCCAGCGGGATTCGAACTCATGACTTACAAATTGGCAGTTAACGCTCTAACCCATTGCGCTACGTTGTTGTTAGATAACAATTTTAGGAAAGACAATTTGTATATAATTATACTCGATTTTATTGTTTATAGAATATAGGAAGTACAGTACATCACAATATGGAGGTGTCCATACCATCTTTAAAAAATATGAAAAAATATGAAATGACAAAATAGGCTCAATGTTTATGTGGAGAAAAATTTGAAGATCTTTTTAAACATGATCTTGTAGATGACTAAATTGGCAAGATATTTTGTAATCGATACCATAAAGCTGAATTGATCAGAGTTAAAATATGGCTATACATGGTGGCTCAGATGAGCAATGTGGCCACTCAGGGCCTCTGGTTATAATTGTTTGACTGTGTGGTTTGAGCTGTGATCTTATAGTACATTACTGTTACGCCTCAATTTAGAGATCTTCCCAGTTGGGTGGAAGGTCTGGCATGTCTGAAAGTACCATGTATAGGTCATGATGTTTGACTTTGGGAGTAATTCATATATAATAGGCAATCTATTCCTGAGTTATTATATCTTTCATAATTGTGACTCAATCACCAATTATTAGCTTATAGATACATACCCCGGTACATGCATTGCATCATATGCAACATTCAATTTCGAGTGTTTTGCATGCAAGAGTCTGCATGTATATAATTATACATCTAAATTGAGGGGGTCTCTTTTATTTTGAGCATCCCAAACAGAGAAACAATTGCATAAATTAGTTTTCTGCTGAAAAAGAACACTGCATCTTAATTACAGGGAATGTCTGCGATTCTGTTTCACAAAACTTGTTCAAGATGATCTAAATAAATGTGCTCAAGAGTGGAATCAACACAGAATTCGACACACAAAGTCTGCAGGACTGCCTGGTGGAAAACCAGATTTGATGTATTATCTTCCAGAGTTATATGGTAATTAAGGAAATATATGTCTTATTTCTCCTAATTTTAATTTGC